ACACAAAATTTGGGAATTATCAAATTGATATATTATGTCAAGTTTGCAGTTTCTCACCATCCTTCCATTAGGCTCCAGTGCCACCATAGTGACCCCCTCTCTTGGTCCTCAATAACCTGTGTGTGTTTGTTGATAGACTGTTTGTTTCCACCAAGGTGCAGGACAGAATTAAGGGATATGCCAGTGTTAAGCTACAGTAATCTTCAAAGCTAATTTTGATACACAATCTTTGAAATGTTGCTTTCAGATTTTTTTTTTTATTTTTTTGGTAAAATGTGGGTCCAGGCTAAGAGAACAGCATCAGCTTTTTAGATTTCTTTTTTTTTCAGCCCTTTTCACCTGTTCCAGTGATATAAGCACCTCTGGTAAACACGTGTATAATAAACAGTGTCAAGATCATTAAAAATTTCTATGAGCAGTCACGCTCATATTTACATGCTTGGCCGTATACACACTCGGACCAAACTTGGAAAAAAACAGGTGACTTTCTTTTTGCAGTGAGTGGCACAGGACAACAACTACTCAGCTTACTTTGCTTTTTATTTGTCAACAGATGGATGAAGTGAATATTTCTGGAATATCTGAGACATATAACTCAAACAGGTTAAGATGCAAATTACCCCTGCATCTGTGTGTAGCATTCACCATTAATATGTGTATTACAATTACCGTGATTAGGTGTTGACATCAGCCTTTTTGTGTCATATGCTCCTTTCCTTCCTGACGTCTAATTTCTCTGCTAGCACCACAGACCATTCTTTACCACCCCCTCTTACACTAGCTACCTCCTGTGACCATACAGCTAACCACCAGGAGAGGTTGACCTGGACTTTGAAAAGCTGGGCTGTCAGCAGACATGCAAACACACATTCAAAAGCAATGACATGAATCTGAAAATGATAAAAACAAGAAAACTGAGAGGAACTGCCATTACTCATAAAGTGGAAGAATATTTATTCTCACCAAATCTCAGCTTTTTGATCACATATTAACCAAACCGATACTGCTGGAGTTTACCATAGTAATAGGTATACACAAAGTACAGTCAAACCTGCATGTTACCAAACTAAAACAGAATCAACCATGAAATGCCATTTATTGTCCAAAACCAATAAAAGCACAGACCAAAGTACTCCTGCATTGCTATAGTAGGCTTAGACAGTGTGTGTGTATTTACAGATAATAAAATAATAAGGTTAGAATTACACTACACCAGTTAACCAAAGTGTCTGCGATATACACACTCGGAGCACAAGAGTGAAGGGCACACGCTTTGAACCTGTGTGTGATGTGCAGAATTCTCATTCAAGCAATCAAAGCGCTTGTTGTCTACATATTGAATAGTGCTTCTGTAAAAGTATCTCCTTCAGAAAAGCCTACTGATTGTGTGTTCTTACAGTTACAAAGCCTTGCAGAGATATATTGAATACGTGGTAGGTATGTGTTTGTGTGTGAATGGTTGTGTGTTTCTTTTTGTAAAAAAAAAAGAAAAAAAAAGCTTTTTTGTTTGTGTCTCTGTACAAACTACTTGAAACCTTCAGAGCTTTAATAGAACATCCCAGACAGACTATAGTGTCAGATCAATTCACAATATGTAGCAGCAGCTTTACACAGTAAAATACAGCATTTCTCTACAATATCCACATCCACACAATATTGTAATGACAGTTCCTTTCGATTCAAAGTGCTTTATGTGTGCCTCTTCGTCTGCAAGCAAGCCCTTACATGAACTAAACAAAGCTAAACCCAACAGACCACTTATAACAGACTAAAACATAACCAAAAGCTACAACCTTCTTTAGATTTCATTTTGGTTCATGTTTATGGGTCAGCATTAGAGAACTTTGGCATGGCTGAGTGTGTAGGACATTAGGCTGCAGTCCTACAAAATCTGAAGCTGAAGAGGAAACAGCAAACTGTCCTTCACCGAGATTTTCCCTCCTGATTTCATTGGACAGGTTAAAAAGGATTGGATCGATTTTCTGTTCAGCTGGGTGTAAATGTCATTAAGTCATAAAACAAATGAGATTCTTCCAGAGGTGTCATATACTTATCTCTGTGAAGATATTATAGATGGCAAATGCATAAGGGCTCTGCTGTTGTGAATAACGTCCAAGGGTCTCTGAACACTTGCATTAACCATTTTTTCTATTTGTTTAACTATGTACATGATACTGTATGGGCAAAACGCATGTTTGGAAGAAACAAATATTAGCAGGTTGGCATTTGTCTCTCCCTACCCCAACTAGTAACTCTACCAATGAAGTTTCAAGGCTCATCTGATGTGATGGTGACACAACCTTCCTGTGAAACAGGCACTGATGAACAGCTACAATAGAAAGATTAAGTGGTAAATGGTTGATTCAGCACTAGTTTTCCCAAAAGCCATGGCTCAGGATGGTCTTGTTTTTACCTTT